TGTCAGCTTTGCTGGCAAAGTGGTGGTCTACAGGGTCGTCTACATCCTCCTCTTCCTGTTCTGGGTGGCCTGGTACCAGGTGAACCTTGGTGGGACCCCGAGCCCCCAGCCCCTGCCCTGCTTCTCTGCCCCAGGCTGCTTCTGCCTTCTGCTTTCTGACTTTTGGCCCTGCCGTGCGGGGTTGTCTCGGGGCTGGCACTCTCCTCGTGGAGGGGGGACCACGAAGCTCACAGGCTTCACACCCATAGCTGCTCGGCCAAGCCTCTGACCCAGGTGCCCATTCACACTTATCAATAAGGCCACACAGCCTGCTCCATGACCAGACGCACCAACCCTGCCTCCAGATACGTGAGCGGTTCCAACACATGGGTGGAGAGAGAGTGCGTGGAACCTGGGAGCCATAGACAGAGGGAGTGATCAATTTCCAATACCACCTGGACTGCTCAATATATAGACAGAACTCCCAATGCCACAGCTTTCTGGCTGTCCGGGGGCGGGGGGTGGGGCAGGGGGTTACCCTTCCTAGTGCTGAGGTTTGCTTTTCTGCAGGAAACTTAACTGAAGGCCTGGACCCCTGACTTCACTTTGTGTGTCTCATTAAAACTTATCTAGACCCTCATATAAGAATAAGCTTGGGGACTTCCCTGGTGGTCCATTGTAAGACTCCATGCTCACAGTGCAGGGGGGCTAGGTTCGATCCCTGGTTAGGGAACTAAATCCTGCATGCCACAACTGAAGATCCCACACATCACAACTAAGACCCGATGCAGCCAAATAAATGTATATATATGTGTATATGTGTGTGTGTGTGTGTGTATATATATATATATATATATAAAAGTGAAAATGTTAGTTGTGCAATCTTATCCAAATCTTTGCAACCCTATGGACTGCAGCCTGCCGGGCTCCTCTGTCCTTGGAATTCTCCAGGCAAGAATACTGGAGTGAGTAAATATTCCCTTCTCCAGGGGGTCTTCCTGACCCAGGGATCAAACCTGGGTCTCTTGCATTGCAGGCAGATTCTTTAGCATCTGAGTCACCAGGAAAGCCCATATATGTATGTGTATGTGTACGTGTACGTGTGTGTGTATGTGCATGTGCATGTGTATATATAAGGAATGAGCTTGGGCTCCAAGCAGCAAAGATTTCTGTTGGAAGGAACAGTTTTGCAGAGGGAGCTGTTCCCTGTACCCACCCCTGTGGCCCCTTCTGGTCACGGCCGCCCCTGCCCTGCCCACCTCTCTAAACCCTGCCTGGCCTTTATCAGGACTATGTCTGAATTGCAGATACACTATAGTTCCTGGAGAAGGAGCTCCAAGTGCTTCTGGATGCTCGTGGTCTCTTACTCCATGGTGGTCCTTTTCGCTGTCTACACTTTCCAGTTTCAAGCTGTTTCTGGATTTTTCAATGAAACCCTAGGACTTTCTAAAGAGGGGTAAGAATGTCTTAGGCCCTGGGCTGATGTATGAGGAGGTGGCTTTTCTAGTTGGTTCTGTGCTCTCTGGGCATCTCTGTAAAGCTCCCGAGCCCCTCCAGGAGTGGGGAGATGCCTCTGGCAGCTCCAAGTTTCAAGATCGGAGCCCAGGAAGAGGACCCCCTGGAGATTTTGCTGCCAGGTCGACCCCTCCTGTTCTACTGGGGTCTCAGGACCCACGGACTTGAAACCCCAGGGTGCTCCCACCTTGGGATCTCACCAGACTCAGGCAAACCCCGTCCTCAGCTCGCAGCCTGAATTTTAGCTGCGAGTTTGTTTATGACGAAAGCACACGTGCCAGAGGTTCCCGTGAGGGCGCTGGGCTTCTCCAGGTCATGGGAGCCCACCTGCCACAGAACTGTGGCCCAGAGCCGGATTCTCGGGCTAGCACCCTGTTTTCTCCCTACTGAATCCCCCCAGGGTGCATCTTGGAGTGGGGCTGGGGAGGGTGGCTGTTGTGACTGAAGCTTGATGACCCCAGCATCCTGTGTTTCTTGGCGTGGCAAGTGAGTTCTTTGTCTACAGCGCCTCCTCTCGGTCGTAAATGCAACCAACGTCTGGGAGGCATTTCATGACCAATTTTGTCCCAGGGCCCTGGGAAGTCTCCTTCCTAGATCAGACAAAGATTCTGTGGATAGGCCACGCGATGTTTTCATTTTAGGATTCACAGGCCCTGCTGATAATCTAAAATTCTCTGGATCACCTGTCTTACAAGTCTATCATAATCCAGGAGAAGTTTTGTCCTATTGCTTCTCCCCATACTCAGAGTCGCACTATTACAATTATTCCATGTGGGGTTATACACATGGCCAACTGCCTCAGGACTTTAGCCATCATTAACTCTCCTGGGAGACAGTGAAGGACAGGGGAGCCCGGTGTGCTGCAGCCCATGGGGTCGCAAAGACCTGGACACGACTTAGTGGACTGAACAACAACAGCAAGGCTCTCCAGGACCCTCACAATCAAATATCACTTGCTTATCAAGACCCTGCTTACTGAACTTATACACAGAGTACATCATGAGAAATGCTGGGCTGGACGAAGCACAAGCTGGAATCAAGATTGCCGGGAGAAATATCAATAACCTCAGAAACGCAGATGACACCACCCTTATGGCAGAAAGCGAAGAAGAACTAAAGAGCCTCTTGATGAAAGTGAAAGAGGAGAGTGAAAATGTTGGCTTAAAGCTCAACATTCAGAAAACAAAGATCATGGCATCCAGTCCCATCACTTCATGGCAAATAGATGGGGAAACAATGGGAACAGTGAGAGACTTTATTTTTGGGGGCTCCAAAATCACTGCAGATGGTGACTGCAGCCATGAAGTTAAAAGATAATTGCTCTTCGGAAGAAAAGCTATGACCAACCTAGACAGCATATTAAAAAGCAGACATTACTTTGCCAACAAAGGTCTGTCTAGTCAAAGTTATGGTTTCTCCAGTGGTCATGTATGGATGTGAGATTTGGACCTTAAAGAAAGCTGAGTGCAGAAGAATTGATGCTTTTGAACTATGGTATTGGAGAAGACTCTTGAGAGTCCCTTGGACTGCAAGGAGATCAAACCAATCAATCCTTTAGGAAATCAGTCCTGAATATTCCTTGAAGGACTGATGCTGAAGCTGAAGCTCCAATACTTTGGCCACCTGATGCAAAGAACTGACTATTAGAAAAAATCCCGATGCTGGGAAAGATTGAAGGCAGGAGACGAAGGGGATGACAGAGGATGAGATGGTTGGATGGCATGAGTTTGAGCAAGCTCTAGGAGTTGCTGATGGACAGGGAAGCCTGGTGTGCTGCAGTCCATGGGGTCACAAAGAGTTGGACACTACTGAGCGACTGAACTGAACTGATCAAGACAAAGAGCAGTGGAGGGACTTTGCTGGTGGTCTGGTGGCTAAGACTCCGTGCTCCCCATGTAAGAACTCTGGGTTCAATCCCTGATCAGGGAACCATATCCCACATGGCACAAATAAGATCCTGCATGCCACAGTTAAGACCCAGCGCAGCCAAGTAAATCAACAGAAAGAAGTAGAAAGAGTTAGTCTCTCAGTCATGTCTGACTCTTTGCAATCCCATGGACTGTATAGCTCACGAGGCTCCTCTGTCCATGGAATTCTCCAGGCAAGAATACAGGAGTGGGTAGCCATTTCCTTCTCCAGGGGGTCTTCCTGACCCAGGGATGAAACCCAGGTCTATTGCATTGCAGGCAGATTCCTTACTGTCTGAATCACTAGGGAAGCCCCCCCCCAAGTAAATAAATATGTCTTTTAAAAGAGAGAGAGAGAGAAAGGGCAGTTGGGCCCCTCAGGAAAGGCGTCTTTTGTCAGGCAGGACCCAGGGAACAGCAGCCTCCCGACCTTGATCTGTTCCAGGCTCCGAGACCTGGGCCTGCAGCGGTTCCACGTGGCCACGCTGTTTGCTGAGCTCCTGTTGCCCGCTGCGCTCCTGCTGGCAGGCATCCTCCACTGTCGTTGTTGTAATGAGGACCTCAGGAGGACCACCGGCCTGCATAATAGCCCCATTACCTGGGAGGGCTCATCTGACAGGTACCACTGTCCCCGGGGCAGCCTTTGGAGATTGTGCGAATGGCAGGCTCAGCGTCAGGCGGTGCACTGAGTCATCCATCTGTAGGTGTTCTGTAGATGTTGGTGGGGAAAGTTAGACCCTGTGTGTCTCTGGAGGGTCTACGGACCAGGCCAGGGGCTTCTGGGCAGGAATGTGCACTTGGCTTTCGCTGCGACTCTCTGGGTCAGCGCTGTCTGCCTGTCGGATGGTCTGCAGGCCTCTGGGTCTAGTTTATTTTCGTTTTCACCATTTTGGCCTCTAACTAAATTAAGACATTGGCTGTGAAACTTGGCTTTTAAAGGTTTTCTAAAATTTGAGTCACTAATAGGATAGGATATTTTGCAGAATTCTTATTTTAGAAGGTGGTGCGTCGCCAGAGCAATTTGCTTTCTTACTCAAAAGTTAGGCAGGAGGCTGTGGCCTTCTCAAGGCCTCAAGGCCTGCATCTGTTTTTCGGATCAAACTCTGCCATGCTCCTAGCACGTTTTGTGAAAAAGTACACAAAATACCATGGCTTGATTCTTTTTCTCCCCGGGGGTTGTCAAATACTCTTTTCTGTCAACATCGTGCGGTTTGATTTTGGTTTTTACTCAGCTTTGTTTGTATCCAAGGTGGGATGTGAAAGCTTTATAGAAAAGAAAGGGTGCTTGGAGCCTGTTAGTCCCTGGGTGGGGTTGGGAGGCCCTGCCTGTGAGCAGGGCACTCTTTCCCATTGCGCCCTGCCCTCCATCCCCGAAATTATGTGTAGTTTGGAAAGGATGCCTGCTTTGGAGAGAGGAGAACACTTGGGGAGAAAGGTTCTCTTTTGAGACCCCCCAGGGCTCCCTGGGTCAACTGGGATGATGTGAAGGGGTGAGGGTTTTCAGAGGTGGCTGATGATGTTTGCGGACTGGGTTGTCATGGCAACATAATACGCACTCCAGCCCCCCCTGTACTTCCAACCTAAGCCCCCTGTGATCTGTCTCCCCCGGCAACAGGAAGGAAACCGACGTGCATCTCCTGCCAGACGTATGAGTGCCTCTCTTTAAAATTCCTCCAATGCGTGCTCTCCCCAGGGAGCATGCCCTGCGTCGGGCGCACCAGACGCGCTGCCCCTGGCTCAGTTGCCCTGTTCACTGAGCATTCAGGTGTTGATCTCATTCTTTACAAAAATTCCAGCAGAGAATCAATGCCCGTCCCTAGGGGACTGACTAAGCAAATGACGGTGTGTCTCAGAATCTAGGATGCTCTGAGAGGAGGAGGCAGCCCTGTGTGTGCTGATCTGGGGTTAGACTGAAGCTAGATGGGCAAGTGGCAAAAGCAAGGGGCAGAACACTGTATATAGGATGTGCCCTTATTGGTCCAAGGAAAAGATACCTGCACACACAGGCCTATACTGAATGTATGAAGTATGCATCTTTTGAAGAATGCACGCGAGATCTGTCATGGTGCTTGCCTTGGGGAAGGAGACAAAGGTGTGAAGGAAAGTTGTTTTTCACTGTGTACCCTTTGTGCCCTTTGAACTACTTTTTAAACTACTGACTCAATGAACATGAATCTGAGCAAACTCCAGGAGATAGTGAAGGACAGGGAAGCCTAGCGTGCTTCGGTCCACGGGGTTGCAAAGAGTCAGACACAACTTAGCAACTAAACAACAGCAACAGTGCTTTGTCCAGTCAATATAACAAATGAGTAAACTCTTAAAGATTTGTTAGAGTTTGCTGTTTAAATAAATCCAATAAGAAAGGAATACTTTTATAAATAGAGCTCTGTGTGTGTGTCTCTTTCAGGCTTAAGGTTATACCTGGGAAACTTCAGAAGAGGTAAGAACTAAAGAGTCAGAGAAAATGCATTCTTTTCCAGAAATTGATTTCTGAAGTCAATTGTGCCCCGAGCAAAGCATAAATGTGATTCCTGATAGTGCAGGTCAAACACAACTTTCCTCCTATGGCCAAGTCCTTGATTCTGTCCCCTACGCGTGTCTGCTCAGGGCTTGGACCCATTGCGTTTATGGGCTTTGATAACACAGGCTAATGAGTTGGTACCCAGTCCCCCTGCTTGAAAGTCCCTCAGTTTTCTGCCTTTGGTTTTCAGATTACGACGCAGCGGGGAAGAGGAGGCCACTCAGAACTGTGCCGACAAAGCCAGCAGCTCCGAGAGGAAGGCGGAGGAGTCTGGAAGGCTGGGGAGGAAGGTGCCAGCAGGTGGGAGATGCCACTTTCCCTTCGAAGCCCTGCATGACGCGCTCTTCGCCCCTCATGGGGCTCTTCTCCAGAGCTGCCAAGAATTCTGGGCACCCAGGCAAACAGTTGACTAATTAAAACAAAAAAATAATCCACCCAGATTGTTGACCTGGTTCCCTGATTTGACATGGTCTCAGCATACTGTCTTCACATTTTATTTTGGGGGCAGGCCAAGTGTCTCAGGTGTGAGGGGGGCTGGGATGTCATGGCTCTGTGCCATCCGCCTGCTTCCTCCTGCCCATGTTCATTCCCATGCCCGATGGGGAGCCCATTCACATCAGTTGGACCTGCAGACTCTGACAGCAGCTGGGCAGACGGCTGACATTTTATTTTCAATTAAAACACAGTATTTGAGTTGCAAGCGACTGAGGTTCCCCAGGGTCTGTTTTGCTTACCTGGGGAGCCACTGCTTACAAGGGATTGGGGGCCCTGCTTATTGTTGATTCCACTTGCGGTTTGGATAGAAACAAGAAACGGGGTGGGAGGGCATTTAGCATGGCACCTGACATATTCTGAGCGCTCAACACACGCTAGTGTCTTTCATGTTGTCAAAGTACATGCTTTAACACCCCTTGGGCAGTTTGGTATTTATTCATCCATGCTCCATGGCATTTGGTAGGGGGATGGGGGGATGTTTTGTGCACCAGGCAAGGTGCTGAGCGTTGAAGGGACATAGGGGAAGTAATTGGTGCCCCTTCCCTTAAGTAATGCTCAGCAAACTGTGGCCCCAGGGCCAAATCTGCCCCTCCTGACTTTGCAGATAAGGCCACACCCATCTACAGACGGCCTGTAGGTGCTCTAGTGCTGCAAGAGTGTGTGACCCAGACACTATGACCCGAGTCTGGAATATTTACGATACGGGGTTTCCCAGGTAGCTCAGTGGTAAAGAATTCACCTGCCAATGCAGGAGCCACAGGAGGAGGAAATGGCAACCTATTCCACTCTTCTTGCCTGGAAAATTCCATGGACAGCGATGCCTGGCAGGCTATAGTCTATGGACCGCAAAGAGTTGGACATGGCTGAGCACATGTGTGCACTAATCTTTATAGAAACAACCCTGGTGTAGAGGGGACATGAGTGTTCACCAGCACCTGGGATGTGGACAGAGGGCCAAACAGACAGCTTCAGCAGCAGAGAGGAGGGAAGCCAGTGTGGGGACGCAGGGCCTGGTCACAGGCACTCAAGATTATTGGAAAACAGCTTTCTTTAGGGAAAAAAAGCACTGTTTTCCTAGTTTTCTCTGCTTTGTTCTGGCTTCCTTTGAGATGCAGGCTTCTTCCCATCGTTTTCAACAACAAAGCCAGACCCCACGGCATCACCAGGGACATCTGGTCAAAGCCTTTCTCTTCCCCCAGAGGAGGAAACGAGTGATTGGGACTTGGCAGTTGACAAGCTGACTGCTGGCTTTCAGAAGTTTCTAGAAATGGTGAATGGAACTCAAGCATTCTTGAGGCGTATGCTGGAAACACATAGCATGAAGCTTCTGGCCCCCGTGGTCGTCTGGCTCACCCTGCAGGAGGTCAGTGGTTTCCAGGAGGACCATTGCCTTCAGGTTCTAAGACCCTTCTCTTTCTTCTGCATGGTGTTGACCTCTTATGGAAAGTCCAGTGGGTGTATTTTTAACTCCCATCTCCCCCTAACTCGTGCTGCTCTGATCACAGGCAGGGAATAGGAGCCAAGCCAAGGTACTCACAGACTTCAACACTTTCCTTGTAGGTTTCCTTGATGAACTCCGTGTTTTACATCCTCTGGGTGTTGTCCCTGCCCTATTCCACATTACGCCCCTTCACGTCCCGTGTTTCCACAGTCTGGGCGTGTGTGATAGTGGTCTGCAAAGTGATGTACCAGCTGAAGTGGGTTGTACCCTCTGCCTATGCTTCAAACTGCACACAGGTGAGCTCCGTTGGAGCCGCAGCTTCTTCCTGGCCAGACAGGAGGGCTCCAGGCAAAGGCAGGGTCTGAATTCTCACCTCTCTAGCATCTGCCTTCCTCTCTCTAAGGAGAGTTGTCAGAGGAGCCATCAAAATACAATGCTGTTGTATCTGGGAAAAGCCAGCTAGTGCAATCTCGGCCATCTCAAGGAGACAGTTGAGGCCCACTTGGGAAGGTTGTGAACGACTCACCTAAGAGCTGTACTATGTCCATTTAATCATTCAACACACACTGATGGCAAGCCTGCTCTGCACCCGGCACTGTGCTTGGGGCGAGTGCTTGGGAGATGCTGCAGATGAGATTCCGAAGGGACAGATGAACACATACAAGGACATAGACACCTTGGGGCTGGAGGTGGCGGGAGGAGGGTGGAAAGGACACTGCTAAGTCTGGGAAGGAAGGGTGGGGGTGGGGCAGGTAGGAGAGCCCCGCAACCACCCTGTGCCCAGCCTGTGGACAATGTGTCAAGAGTACGGTGAGAAACCATCTGCCTGGGGGCCAGGATCTCTGGGCCCAGAGGGAGCTGATGCCCAGCCACCACACTGTGAGGGGGAAAGCCCAATGAAGGTGCCAGAAGGGCTGTCTAGTCCATCTGGCTCTTTTACAGATGGGGAAACTGAGGCACAGGGCCTTGCTTGGGGTCTTTCAGCTGAAGTCCTTCCCAGGCAACCCTGTAGCTGAGTTGCTCCTGGGGTCCACCATCACCCAGTGCCCCGTCATCGTTTCTGCATCCCCCCAAGGTGTGGCGAGCAAATGGAACACGCCCACCAGCGCTGCTCGCCGGAGGACTGATGGTCTCACTGCAGTCTGTGGACCCGGCAGAGTGGCTCGGAACATTAATGAAGTGTGATGGCAGAGCCCTGCCTTGTCTGAAGGTAGGGATGACATCACAGCCCGTGATTAGCAGGTGCAGACAAACGGGGATGTCAGAGCAGCGTGAACCTCCGGGGTCTGAGCACCAGGGTAGACGGGACGAGATGGAGAAGCTGGCCAGGCCAGGCATGCAGTGGGCACCCTCTCCATAAACTCAGAGTCCCCTTCCTTCCCAGGGAACATTACATTAAGTAATTGCTTTGGTGGCCAAGTTATATATTACCGCGATGAACCTGGCTCTGACTTATCATTCTCTTTTACTGTTTTGCCTAGAGAGGTTTCTGTGGCGGCTCGGAAAGCCAGGAATGAATAAGGACAGAGGTGACATTAAAGGCAGGCTGTTAGCAGAAGTGAAAATTAAACAACTCAGCCAAAATCGAAGTCTGGTCGCGCCTTGCCTGTGTAGGTGGGGAGATTAATTGCTCCCCTTCTGGGGCCTCTTCCAACGTGCTGGGAGTTTGCAAGGGATTCGCTTGTGATCCGAACTCTTTCAGCTCAGCCTGTGACTTGAGGGTGGGGGCCCCTACTTCCAGTGACTCTGAGGCTCAGAGAGGCTGAAGCACTTGTCTGAGGTCACAAAGAGCAGCAACAGTGGGGCAGAAATGAGAGCCAGCTCAGGGTCACCTGCTGGCCAGGTCAGGCCATCCTACAGGGTCACACCTGAGAAACAGGAAGTGGGGATGTCTCCCCAAAGCAGTAGGAGACCAGGTAGCAGCGGCAGGTGTGTGGAGGGAGGTGGGCACACACGCCCCCTCTCTTCGGCTGGTCAGGGGTTTCCAGACCTCAGTCTAGAACAAAGAGGACTCAGGTAGCGAATGAAAGGAGGTTGCTGTCCTAGCAGGTAGGGACCCAAAGTGCTGGAGCGTCTCTAGTGCAGAAGTTGGGGTGCTGACGGTAACAAGCTGAGCCCGGGGCCCTGTCCCTGGCACCCTCCCAGGACAACCCTGTGTCTACTTCTGGATTCTGCCCCTTGCCCTCCACCAAGGGCACTTCTCAGAGGAGGCCTGGAATCCAGAGGCCTCGGGTCACCCCTCTAGCCCTCCAGAAGGAGGAAGCCATGTTGGCCCAGCTTTAGAGCTTGTTCCCAGAAGGAGACCACGGGCGAGGGGCCCCGTGACCCGGCTGCACCCCACGCAGCAGGGGAGGCTGCCCTTGCTCCTCAAAGAGGAAGGCATGGCATTAAGTGCACACTGTTAGCAAGGCAGGGAAGAGCAGAACCGGTTTATTTTAACAAGCTACCCGAGAAGATGGACAACAAGGCTCTGCTGTCCTCTGAGTCACCGCAGGCAGCCCCCCTGCCCTCATCCATTTCCTGGGAACGCAGGGAGCAGAGGTTCATTGTCAGACACTTTATTTTAAGACGTGTCAGCCTCCGCTGGTTACCACGCAACTCCAGACATCGCCCCCAGAAGCTCCTGGAAAAGGACCAGCCAGCCGTCCAAGCCGTCAAACAGAAGTCCTATTTAGTCCCCATCTCCTAATTTGCACTGGGGTCTCCGCATAGCCACAGGAGGCTGCTTGGAACAGAGAATCTCTATGAAGGGCATGAAAGGCGGCGAGGAGGCCGGCCACATCTGCATAGGAACCGGGACACACTTGGACCGTCTGGGGCGCCGAACAGACCTCTCTTCATTTGGAATAATTGGTCAGTCTCTCGCAAGTGGCCTCATGTTACAGCACACAGGGCATACTTATGGCTAAATATGATCTAATAAGGTAATCCTTTTCACTTCCGTGTCACATGATCGATAGGGAAAATACAGCATATTTATAACCAACAATTAGGCTTTCACTGCATCTTCCCCCCATCGCTCATCAACAAACACCCTCTTATAAACCCTGCATCTAAGTGGTTCTTCCTCCATCCATCAAGTCATCCTGGGTGCAGGAAAGATTCCTTAGAATGGCCATTGCATTGGAAAAAAAAAAAAAAAGATGCAGCCAGCTAAGGAAGATCTTTAAATTCACACCTCATGCCCCAAGATGAATTTCAACACAAACCAGCAGCGTTGTGAAGCTACGAGAGGGAGTTGTCCTTGGAAGGGGGTGTTGGTGTACGCCTTGTGTTATAAAGTAATACAATCAACCAAAGTAAATGAACTCATTATGATCGGCTTTTTATTCCCAGCTTGTCAAGAGTCATAACTGTATGAAGCTTTCTCCACCTCGATCAATTGGAAAATCAATACCTCTGTATTTGCAGAGAGCATCTCTGATGGGGAAAAATGAGAGGAAATGCTTGGGAGACAGGAAGGGGATGTTATCTACTCCCTCTGACAGGTTGAGTGAAGAAGCAGGCCCCCCTCCCTTCGTAAGAGTTGGTGCTGAAACCAACGTTTTCTGTTGGGACGGGGCAGCCTGGTGGGCTGATCACCCAAACCACAATGCTTCTGGAGAGTGGCAGGTGGAGGATCTGGGTGTCCTGCAAAGTGGTCTGCCTAGTGGGCAGCCCCGGGAAACTGGGCTTCTGCCCCAGATGGCACTGATGTGGGTTTTCTGTGCTTGGCAGAACCAGCTGGCTGTCCTGGCCCTGACGACTCTGGACGTGATGGTGAGCCAGCGCCAGAGCATCCACCGACTTCGGGAAGGACTGTCGGGGCCCCTTGCCAGTGCCACCTTGGATACTGTCACCCGGGCTCATCTGGACCATGGGCTGCTGAGTGCCTTGCAGTATTTCATCCACTTTGGATTTTACAAGTTTGGGCTTGAGGTGACCTCTCTGTTTTTGCTTCCATTTGTCAATTCCTTGTTTTTTATTTCTTTAAACAAGAGAAACATCTGACATATACAAAAGTAGAGAGAGCCATATCTTCAGCTGCCCTGCATCCTTCAGCATCTTTAGCAATGATCAACTCTCTGCTCACCTTGTACCCTTCTGTTCCCTCTCCGGGATGTGTGTGTCTTAGTCACTCAGTCGTGTCCAGCTCTTTGCAACCCCATGGACTATAGCCCGCCAAGCTCCTTTGTCCATGATATTTCTCAGGCTAGAATACTGGAGTGGGTAGTCATTTCCTTCTCCAGGGGATCTTGCCGACCTAGGGATCGATCCCAGGTCTCCCGCGTTGCAGGTGGATTCTTTACCAGCTGAGCCACCAGGGAAGCCTCTCCCGGGACCCAGGCGTTATTTTGAAGAAAAGGCCATGCTTCATGAATACTTCTGTCTTTATCTCTCAAAGATGCAAATTCTCCAAAATACAAAAGCAGACTGTTACCTGCCTGTGAAAAATGAAACATTTCTCAAAATTAAACATCGAATCTGTGTCCAGATTTTCCGGATTGGCTCATAACTTGAAAATTTGTCCCAGTCAGGATCCAAAGAGACTCCACACAGTGTGACTGGTCACTTGGTTGATACATCCTTTGAGCTCTTCACCTAGAGATTCTCTTTCTATCCCTGCAATTTGTGTAATCAAGGAAATTGATCAAAGGCTGTGGGGCTTTTCATCGTCTGGACTTTGCTGATTGCATCCCCATGGTTTCCTGTGAGACGGGGGTATTCTGGGTCCATCATGAGCTCCTTGTTTCTTAACTAAAGACTTCTATGAAGACAGACATTCTCTCCCCAACTATTCAATTTTCCTGAGATACAGTTCTTTTTTTTTTTTTTATAGTCAAGAACAATGCTTAAATTTTTCAAATGTGGGAGTTGGTTTTGTAGGACCCTTCCAAGAAGCCAATGAGTTTCCAGCATTTTAATCCATTGTTACTGTTGCCCCAATAGTGCTCAGATTGCCCCATCTCTGGCCAGTGGGAATGTCCCACTTTCGTGACTAGGGGTCTTTATAAGGGGCCCTGCCCTCTGCCTTGCTGTCTTGTTAAACCTCTGATCCACCGAGGGCCCTATGGAGCCACAGTGCTGACCACAGATTATCCCCCATTCTCCATAGTCCCTCGCTGTTGAGACTCCACTCTTTTCTCTTTCTGGACCATCTTGAACAAACTGATCTTGTAATTTGTCCAATTTGCTAACACATCAAATGATTGTGATGAGTTTCTGGGCTGTGGGGGCACTTTGTAAAAGCAATAAAGTAAAAATAAGTAAATGAGCCCAGCTCTTCACCATCCCCAAATCTCAACCACCATCTCATCTTGGAGTGGTGGGGGGAGACAGCCCTTCCTGCACCCGCTGTTACCTTGTTAATGGCCTTATCTGCGTCTCTCGCCCTGCATTCCAGCTGTGTTTCGTAGCCGCCCTCCACACCGTGGGGCAGCGCATGGATTTCTACGCCCTCATCCATATCATCTGGCTGGTTTATCTGCTGAAACTTCGGCGGAGAAAAGCCATCGCTGAGGTCTGGCCCAGATACTGTGGTTTCCTCGTCTGTCTGATCATCTTCCAGTATTTTCTGTGTCTGGGGCTGCCTCCTGCTCTCTGCAAAGGTAAACCAACCTGCCTGCCATGGGACTCTTCCATGGAAACACTGAGTCTTGGCAAATGCTGACTTTGCCCTGGACGTATCAGGTCCTCAGGTGGAGGGACTAGGGTTCTGTGCCTTTTGTGGGGAGATTGCTGTGCCGAGGAATCATGGGGCCTCAGACATGGTTTGGGCCAATATCTGGGCCCTGTGGTTCTAGAGGATCAACAGCCACCATGGTGTGGTCCCAGCACAGTCAGACCCACCAAGCTAACCCAGAGTTGCCACAAGAGGAAGGGTTTGTCCAACTCTGCCCAAAAAAGCAAATTCAAATGAAAAGAGCAGGAAACGGGAGGAATGATGCCCTTCCATCTCGTATACCCTTCACTTTGCCCCGCTCTTCCCCACAGCACTTCTGTCAGGTCATGCCAGCCAGATGTCTGCATCCCCACTGAACAGATGAGGGAGCTGGGCTGGTTGGGAAGGGAGTACCAGCTGCTGTCACCTCTCCACTGGGGAAAATGGCTCTTGGGGGCCCAGAACCAAGGAGAACCCTGTTTGCGGACTTTGGTCTGGGTCATCTTTTCTATCTTCATACAGTAAATAGTCAAAAACCTTGTCCTGAGTTGAATTGACAGTCTCTGCTCTCTTCTTGGGTACCGTTTTCTTGGCTCACACAAGTGTTGTCTGCTAGTGACCCTCCCTAAGGTCGTGTCCATCGTCTCCATCCTATTCTCCCTGCAGAGCTCCCTTCTCTCCTCTCCCTCTCCCCCTCCCCCTCTCCTCCTCCCCCGTCTCTTCCTGCCCCTCCTCGCTCTTCCCAACATGAGACTCTTCTTCCTTATGTCTTCTCTTCTCCTCCTGTCTCTTCCTCTTGCCCTCACTCTGCCCTCTCTGTCTCGTCCCCCACTACGCTCCCTGTTCCTTACCTTCCTGTCTTCGCACAGTCTCATCACCCTCCCTCCTGCCTTTGCCCCCCTTTGCTCCCAGATCAAGGCTGAAGATTTTAGCCTGATCACGCCTTCCCCTCACCCCATAGCCTTGCTCAGCCCTTGCCTCTCAATCCTCAGCAGGACTGGGGAGTCTGCCCGGGTCTGGCCCCTGCAGATGGAGCCTGAGTGGGCAGCTGTCTCCAGGAAGGACCCTCAGCACCACAAGATAGACCCCTTCGGGGTCCCCAAGCAAGTCAGCCAATGGGAGTCAGAGGTTGAAGCAGTTTCTAGCACCCTCTGAACTTAAAGTCCTTCTCTTGACCCAAAATCACATCCGACACCTTAGTCATTCCATATAATTTGAAAGAAGCATTACTAGAACACAGACTTGATGATCTTTAGAAAAATAATGAAGATGAAAAGACAATTCCTCCTTCCTCTACAGATTACCCGTGGAGAACCACAAGTACAGAAATACATTCAAATCTCATTAAGTGGTTATATCTCCCCGATTATGCCAAGAAGCCAGATGCCAATCTGTTATTCTGTGAGTACTGAGGGGGTCCGAGTACCTGTACACTTGGACAGGTGCTGGGGAACTTGGGACAACCTTCCTTCCAATATTTCTCCATTTCATCTTCTTGTAATCACCCAGACCGTACTCAGCGAAGATATATAGTTACCAGGTTCCAAGGTCTCAATCTAATTAAAAAATGCTTGCATTGGAGAGAATTTTAATTCATAAGCATTATTCTGATGGGGCTGGGGGTGGGGAAGGACTTTTCAATAGATGATTTAAAATTCAGAGATTCAATTAGACCCTAAATACAAAGTGGATGGCTGGTTTGCAAATCAGATTTCCAAGGGTTGCCTCAAAGTCCTTCCAAAACATGGATGTTGTCAGCTCCTACTCATCCCAGAGTGAGCACTCCATGTTCTTTTCAGGATTTGTCCATCTCAGTCTAGAAAACAGCCACCTTCTTGAACATAGGCTGAGTTTTACGGAGAAGATATAACTGGAAGCTGTGGAGATGGCCCATGTTTTCATTTCCTTCATCCACCTCTCACCTTTTTGTTGAATTCGATCCTGTGCAAAATTCATTTTTTCATTCACCATCCATCCAACAAATGCTGATAGACCCAGACTGTGTGCCCCTCCCCCACCTTGGAATCCGGTGGTCCCCTGGGGCCGTGGTTCTCTCTCTGCCTGTGGCTTGGATTCACACTTTGAGGGGAGTGAACTTTGAGGGCTCCTAGTGACCTCTGGAAACTCCCACAGTGTTCCTGTCCTATGTGCCCCACCAAAGGCGATGGGGGCAACGAAGCTCCCATGTGATGCTGGAGGAGGATCAGGCCGCCCGAACACTCAGGCATACTGGCCCCAGGTGGCTCGCTGTACTGTGGACGTCCAGACCGTGGGCAGGGCAGCCCCTCCTGAGGACCACGACCCCTTCCTCCTGTCTTTGCAGTTGACTTCCTGCTCCTCCTTGCGGCCTCCCTGCAGTGGCAGGTGTTTGTGGATGAGAACACAGCATCCATGAGGCTGCGGGCGGGCGACAACGTGGAGATCAGCCGTGAGCTCAGGCCGGCCGACCTTGCCCAACTCAGCCCAGTTCTCAACTTCATCTTCTGCCGGTGAGAACTGGGTGCCTGATGGGTGGGCAGTCTCCACTCCTCCCTAGCATCCTGGGCTCAAGAATTCCTTACTTTGGAGAGGAAGTTACTATGAGTTTCTTTTTAATTAAAAAATTGAATTGATGTCTAATTTCCATACAGTGAAACATCCAGATCAGAACTGTAAGATTCACTCAGCTCTGGTGGGTGTGTATCAGGGCACAAACCCTCCATCCGCCCAGAAACACCCCCTTCTCCTCTTTCTAGGGAGTTATTTGCTCAGACCACCACTGACTCGATTTTTGCATTGCAGCTTAATTTTACCTGTTGTAGGATTTCATCTGAATGGAATTGTGTGGGATGTGCTTTTTTGTGTCTGGCTACCTTTACTCATCGTAGTATATTTTAGATCCATCCATTTTTCAGCGTGTTTCAGTAAATCATTCCTTTTTATGGCTGAATAGCATTCCCTTGTATGAATATTCCACATTTTTATTACCCATGAGAACATCAGCTGGTTGTTTCCAGCTCAGAGCTAATATAAATAAATCTTCTGAGAACATTCCTGCACAGGATTTCTATGGACATATGTCTTATTTCTCTGGATAAATATTTAGGGGTTGGATAGCTGGATCACGGGGGAAATGCATATTATTGGTTTAAGAAACTGTTAAGTAGTTTTCCCTAGTAGGTGTATGACCTTCTATGAATTTCTGAGTGCCCCACTCCTAGAAACATACCATAAGTTGACTGGGCCCCTGCCCTGTGCTATACACTCATTCTTGCATTCGAAATTATTTATTGAGCACCTATTATGTGCCAGGCACTGTTTAAAGCTCTAGGAATTCAGCAGGAAGAAAGATCCTTGCTTTTACCCAGCAGGCACTTTCTTTTTATTTTTTAAAGAAATCAATGGGGACTTCCCTGGTTGTCCACTGGCCAAGACTCCATGCTCCCAATGCAGGACCCCGCATGTCACAACTAAGACCTGCTGCAGCCATAAATAAACAAATATATATTTTTTTAAAAGAAATTGATAAATTTATATAGACAAGCAAGGACCTAGGATATCCAAAACAATTACGAAAGAAGAACAAAGCTGGAATACTAATACCACTTGATTTGAAGACTTTAAAGTCCAATCACCAGGACTGTACTATTGGTAAAAGGCTAGACACCTAGATCAATGGAACAGTTGGTTCAGAAGGGATAATCTTCTTATTGAAGGTGCTGGAACATTTTTGGATAAGTCCATATCCACAGCCCCTCCCCAATGCACAAAGAAACTTTTTATCTGTATTTTGCATCATATGTAAAAATCAACTTGAAATGGATTGTGGGCCCAAATATAAAACCCAAAACATTTACTTAAAAAAAAATATGAGAACTTCTTTGTGACCTTGAGTTGAAGAAAGATTTCTTAAATAGGACACAAAATGCACAAGCCTTCATAGGGAAAAATTGATAAATTGCATTACATCAAAATAAAAAATATTCTGCTCTTCAAAAGACACTGTTAAGATCATGAAAAGATAAGCCAATGACAGAGAGGAAAGATTTGCAAAACATATGTCTGATAAGGACTTGTATCCAGAACATATAAAGCATGTCTATAGCTCAATATGAAGGAAACAATGCAATTTTTAAAACAGGCAAAGATTTGAACAGGCACTTAATCCAAAAAGATAAGAGAATAAGCATATTTTGAAATGATGCTCAACATCATTAGTCACTAGGGAAATTCAAATTAAAGAGAGATTGTACTAACATACTTATTAGAATGGCTAAGATTTTTAAAAACCCCAAACACAGAAAATCTGACAATACCAAGTTCTGGGAAGAATTTAGACGCAGAAATGTTCATGCAAAGCTAGGGGGAAGGCGGCATGACAGAGCCACTTTGGAAGATAGTTGGGCAGTTTATTTATTTTTTTTTAGCGATAATATTCAACTTTCATTCTGATCTTACTTACTTTAATTTGTAAAAGTAATGACACTTACTTGCTATGAGTTGTAAAAATAAGAAAATTATAAAGATTTCCTTCCCATTTAGGTGACCAAGGCACTAAGTAGAGTTTCCTGAGCTACAGTAGGTTCCCATTCGTCATCTATTCTATACACAGTATCAATAGTGATTACATGTTGATCCCATTCTCCCAATTCATCCTATCTCCCGCTTCCCCACTTGGGGTCCCTATGTTTGTTCTCTACCTCTGTGCCTATTTCTGCTTTGAAAATAAGATAATCTATACTTTTTTTCTAGATTCCACATATACAAGTTACTATACAATATTTGTTTTTCTCTTTCTGACTTCACTCTGTATGACAGTCTCTCTGTTCATCCACATCTCTACAAATGACCCAAGGAAATCCAAAAAAGTGGGGATGTGTGTATACATATAGCTGATTCACTTTGCTGTTCAGTAGAAACTAACATAACATTTTAAAGTAACTACAATAAAAGCCAATAAAATAAGCCAATAAAAATTTAAAAAAGAAAATCATAAAGAAACGGAACAAAAGATTATTGTAATTTCAGACAGAATCTGTGAAAATCTTAGCATATTTCCTTTCAGTCTCTTAAAATAATTTTTATATAGTAGAGTTCATGTCCTGTGAGCAATTTTGTATTCTAATTTTTTGCTAATAACAGCCACCACAGATAGATCATTTACCATTGACTTGTAAGCATTTACTCATGACTTCAAAATGCTTTGTAATCATAATTGTAAAGGCTACTTTATATTCCATCATTTGAATATGTCCTAATTTGCTTAATCAGAAATTACCTTGACATGTAATTATTTAGACTGTTTTGACTATTATAAAGTATGTGTGTATATATAAATATGTATATAAATACTATATGTATATAATATATAGTTGAAGTTTCGTTGATTTACAATGATGTGTTAGTTTCAGGTGTAAAACAAATAATTCAAATATATATACTGTATATATACACACATTTGTATATATATTCTTTTTCTATTGAAGTATAGTTGATTTACAATGTTATATTAATTACTGCTGTTTAGCAAAGTGATTCAGTTATACACATATATACATTTTAAAAATATTCTTTTCCATTATGATTTATCAAAAGATATTGGATATAATTCTCTGTGCCCTTCAGTAGGACCTTGTTTATCTATTCTATATATAAAAGCTTATATCTGCTAACCCCAACTTCTTACTCCATCTCTCCCCAACCGCTCCCCCTTGGCAACCAATAAATTCCTTTTTAGAAGTTATTAAATATAGTTCCCTGTGCTATTCATCAGGACCTTATTTTCTGGCAGGTTTCTTCTAATGTGAAATGTACGTTGGCTGTGTAACCCAGCCACTGCACTCACAGGTATTTACCCAAGTGAAATGGAAACTTAGTTCCACACAAAAACCTGCCCATGAATGTTTATAGCAGCTTTACTCATAATCACCGAAAACTGGAAACAACCCAAATGTCCATTAACTGGTGAGTGGCTAAATTGTGGCGCATCCATACCACGAACCACCACTCAGTAGTAAAAAGGGACGACTTACTGACACGCATGACAATCCAGTGGGACTCACAACAGCATCGTGCCGCACACAAAAGGTGACACGCTGCCCGGTGCTGTGTGCGTGCTGTTTTGGAAAACACAAGACTATAGGGACAGAAAACATTGCTGGTTGCCTGGAGGTTGGGGGAGAGGATTGGCTACAACGGGCACAGGGAAATTCGAGGCTGATGGAAATATTCTGTGTCTTGATCAGGTTGGTGGTTACAGGACGGTATTTGTTTGTCAAACCTCAAAGAACTATACCCTTGAATGCAGTCTGCACCTTGATAAGCCTGACATTGCAAAAGACCCTAGGCTCTCGGATGTTCCCATCTCATGGGCGTGGCCATGGGTCTCTGAGGGTCTCCTGCTGGCTGCATTTCTCTCTTTGTCTGTTTTCTGTGTTTCCTTCTATTTTAAGATGACTTGTGGGAGGTACCTTTGTGTCTGTTAAATGACATCATCTTTCCTTTTCACTGGCCTCTTCAATCTTCCAGCTCCTATCTGGACATGGTCAAGGTGGCTGTTTTTCGCTATCACTTCTGGTTTGTGCTTTGCCTGGTGTTTCTTGCGGGAACGACACGGATCCACATCCTGAGTGCTGGGTACCTGGCGGCCTTTGGATATTTCATGCTGCAAGGGAGCCATCTCCTCCTGCAGCCGGCAAAGACCATCCTCCAGCCGTGGGACTGCCTGGTCGCCTACTCGGCGCTGGTGGTTGCTGTGAAGACTTTCCTGTCGGTATGGGATAGTCCCTCTCTCAAGGCTGCTCTTTGTTTTCCTAGCCTGACTGTCTTAATACCCTAAAAAAGGTACTGCCAAAACCAACAGTCATCTTAAAAGGCCTTTTTCAAAGATATGTTTACCAAAGGTGGAAAGAGGTAAAACGATCCGCCGTGTGTCACGCATGATGCTGCCCGTGCTTTGGGGAGTAGCTTTTGATGTTGAAGAGCTCTGAACCCAAGGAAATCAAGAAGGGAAGGGGAGGACGCGCAGCAGAAACATGCTTTATGGTCTAGCTAATCACCTTAGACGATGCTCCAGAGAACCCGTGTTCATTGCGCGGGACCGTGCTCACATTTCAAAGGGAGAAGTGCAATAACACAGAACTGCGAAGATTAATGCAGCAGTTTGAGGGCTAGGAAAGTCATAGGTCTGAAGCTGGAAGGGGCCTCTCTCCCTGCCTCCATCTTGGGTTGGTAGAACTTAAGGCTTCCACACAAGAGATGCAGACAGAGAAGCACCAGAAGAGGCGAGCCCAGTACCACCCCCTGGTCTAGCAGATCCTGGGAGCCCCGTCTGCAGACCCCAGTGCTGGTTGGTTGTCTGATTGGCTGTGCCTCGGGCACAACTTGCAACCCAGGGACACATTAGGACTTTGCTCAGCAGGATGGAGTCATTCTTTGGAGGTCTACAAGCCTCAGGTCATCCTTAAGAATATTGGTCCTCATTGGCTTGAAAAGTTCCAAGTGATTGCCTATTAAACAAACCAGCTTTTACTGGAATGGTGACAATCGTCACCCCAGTTTATCTTATTGCATCTCCATGTCCACAGTGGGGATACCACCGTGTCCTTTCCTGTCATACATCTTAGGACTTCATCCTCCTAATGGCTCGTAGGTCTTCCTTATAAAATCACAGGTTGTGAGAGTGGGGAGGGGTCTCCAGAGATGACATGGTGACTTTGCAGATGGCAGCACAGGGAATCAGGGGAGGGAAGGGCAGTGATCCACTCGGGGCCACGCCGTTGCTCATGGCCGCTGGACTGCTGTCACTGGGGCCCTATTGACATGGAAGAAGCTCCCATGGCCTCTGGGTTAAGCCCTCCTTGTGTTCTCGGGAAGAAGCATGATTAGACCTCCCAGGCTGGATGGCCAAAGGCTGCTCTTCTCGGGGACCAGCGCATTGGATGTTACAACTAGGGAGATAAATGGTAGATGACACTGAACAGCAAATCTACGCTGGGAATGGAGCAGGCAGCATGTCTTTCCTCCTCTCTCACAGGTCGGCGCGTGCGTGTACCTGGAGGCCTTACTCAAATCACACTGCTGGCTGGTCCACATTTTTGGCCTATCCTGCACGGTCCCAGGTTACCAGTTAGGTAAGTGCCGCCAACCCCCTCCCAGCCCCAGTCCAGCACAGCCCATGCAGAGCCCACGTGTGTCATCAGAATAGGAAGATGGAAGGCACAGAAGAATGGAGAGAATTGCACAATGGCCACCCGCCCCTGGCTGAGATCTAACAGTGCCTTCTGCCATCTTTGGCCCACCTGTGTGTGGGTGTATGTACATTTCTTTCGTGAAATTGCCAGAAGGAATGGAGCGTACACCAAGACGTTCTCCTGCAGAACCAGGTTCTCATCAGCTCATCCTGAGAAAACCAGCTCCTGTCCCCTAGTCACCTAATGCCCAGCCTACGTGCCAATGCCCCCAGTCACTTCTTACTGGGTCCTGACAGCTATTTGTTATTATTATTGTGTTATCTGGACTCCGGATCCAGTCCAGGTTCAGGGCTGTAATTGACTGCTTTGCCAGACCACTCTCTGATGGGAGATGGAGGAGACCCCAGTAGAAATTAGGAGACCTCCATTCTCTCGGAGAAAAGCCAGGCACCAGATGAAAAGCAGAGAGAGAGAGCAGGGTGGTTCTGCCTTGCACCCTGAAGCTGAGTCAAGGGCACGGTGCCCTCCGGTCCACGGCCCTGGGCTTTGGGGGCGATTTCAGGTCTGTGCCAACGGCACTTCCGTGGGGTTTGCGAAACCCCAGCCACGCTGCTGACTCCTGGGCTTCGGGCCTGTTTGGAGAGGGAGGAGACCTGGGTTCTGCCCGACTGGAGCTGTCACCGGTCTCCTTTTATGAATGGAGGGGAAGGAGAAATATGTTTGTTTTAACTGCTGCCTCTGAGTGACATCCTGGCCTCGGTTCTCCCTCTGTCTCAGTTTGTCAAAAAAAAAAAAAAAACATGTGAGATCACATTTCTCATCTTTCAAGAACAAGCCTGGAGCTTCCGGTCTTAGTGCCATGGCCATGGGGAGTAGGTTTCTGGAGGTCCCAGCGAGGCTGAGATGGCGGGGGGTGGTTCTCAAGTCCTGTGGATTACCAGTCCCCCTCACTATCAGCTCCACTGCTCACCTTGGACTCTGCCTGGGTCCCCTCAAGGAATAGGAAAGGGAGGGCCTGGGGCTCCAGGGTGGGGCTGGTGCAGATGGGGGGCCTCACCTCCTGGCTCCCTGGGAAAATCACCAGTGGGGGCAGGATGGGGAGGGAAGGACAGAAGAAGTCGCCGGGAAGCAGAGCAGGCTTTGCCCACAGGAGCCCGGGCTCCTCCCCTGGCCATAAGACTCCTGGTTTCTCCTGTCTTCCATGCAGCCATCCCTGAGGACGAAGCCTGTGAACCCCCAGAAAAGGAGGCGGGGATCCTGTGGGACGCCGTGTGTCTCACCTTCCTGCTCATCCAGCGACGGATCTTCCTGAGTTATTACTACCTTTACGTGGTGGCTGATCTGGAAGCTGCTCAAGCCTTAGCATCCAGGTACCAGGAAAGCCAGGAGGAAGACCTCAGCTGTCAGGGGCTCGACCAGACACAAAGGAAGTTTAGCTGAAGGATTGCCACCCTTTAGAACTCACAGAAACCTCAGACCATCTCATCTCACCCCTCCCCTCAGCAGAGGAAGAGCTGACACTCAGAGTGGGTCACCTGCCTGGTGTTGCAGCCCCTCCAACACACGCTCCTTCCTCCCAAGTCTGGGATTCAATCCTGGTCAAATTATGTAGGGCCATGAGATCTTAGGAGGTACTATACTGACTTGTAAACACAGAGGTGGGACAAGAGCAAAGGACCAGCTCTCTTTGCCAACAGTAACCCCAAGTCCATAAGGGACCAAGTTCAGCTCAGGGTTGAAGGAGGAGGTTGGTGGACTTCTGTGAAGAACCAGCCCTGCCCTGCAGAGGTCCGGGGTTTCCAGAACTTCTCTGGGCAGCCTGCCACCCCAGTCTCAGGCTCCTGCCCTGGTTTACATGTCTGTTTGGCCAGCTTCCCTGACAGCCCCTTCTAGTGTTGGTTCCTCATCTGATACAAACTGATCGTCCACCAACCCTAGGGTGTTCACCTGCAACGATGGGTGCCGTAACTGTGCCACTCCCAGGGAAGGGACAGACTCAATTCCAAGGAGTCCCCCACTGTTTCCAGGGTATAGGCCCGAATTCAGATGTACCTTGAGCACGCTGTCCTCTCAAACTCCACTTAGCCTCTCATCCTGAGATCCCGTTCGAGCATGGCCCATCCTCATGCAAGTTGCAAGCATCCACTCCCATACAAAACCTCCATGGTTTGTTGGGTGTTCTGTCCTCAATCTGTTGAGCTGAATTTGGTCTTGATGCTCTGGAGGTTTATGTTCTTTGGGGAGAAATGAGAAAAAAAACCCTTTTGTGCAGCTGGCTGGACACATCTTGTTTTATGAATTGACACATGGTTGACACATTTCACCTTGAATTTTAGTGCAAAACCTGACATTGATAATGACATTTTACCAACAGAATCTACAAAGATTCTCTATAAGACACAAATAAGATTATATCTATCTTATATATATATCTATATATATATATCTCCTTTATCTTATGTATCTTGGAAGATACATAAGATACTTAAAATACATACAAGATGATTTCTTAGATGTATTTCTTTGTCCACACAGGGGTGCTGAGCTCTTGGCACTGTCCTTGAGGGAGGCGTTGGAGCACAGTGAGGAAGATGAGAAAAAATGCCTATGGGTCATCACGAGGCAGTTACGTTGGCTTTTCTTTATTCATCCTGGAAGCATGGCCCTTCCAAAGGAGATGCCATCTTATCGCTTATTTCTTTCTTTGTTACAGATTTCTTTCTCTTTCTTTCTTTCTCTTATTTTTGAATTTCTCCAAGAAAAAAAGCCTAAGACCTGAGATGCGCCATTGTTCAGCTTATGGGGCACTAACGAGCCGTGAATGTGGGTCAATCAGTGGATGGAGGTGGCAGAAATTGCAGGCTGATTCTTCCAACCTGAAAACAAAGGCAGGGCTCTTGAGTGTGATGAGAACATGAGTTTCTCCTGGAAAGATCCATCACTTAATGTAATTCTTAGATGAGGAAGAGACGCTTTGAGCTCTTGATGGCTCAGACTTTCTGCTTTGGCTAAAGTCATTGTTCCCCAAAAAGGTCATTTGCTTTCTTTGCTCTGAGCCTTGATTCAAGCTGTCCCTGGCTAAGAGGGGCCACCTGCTACTCTGCTTAAGCCATCCGTCTTCCAGTGCTCTATAATGCACGCACCCCAGGTGGTACCCAGGAAGATTTTGGTGGTCATTCATGTATGTATTTTTCATTTAAAGGCTACATCATTTATTTTGATGCACTTTGGAAGCGGTGAGGGGAACATCTAGACCACTTGTTGAGTGACTTTAAGGATTGCTTTGGGTAATGTCAAGTTGTAAAAGTGACTTCACTGTAATCAACTTTAAAAATTATATAATATTGGAGAAGTCATGACATGCGCATGATGAAGTTGGCAGAGTTCTTTCTGTTTTGTTGCCTGCTTAAGTCTGAATTCTCAAGCTATCTGAGTCCACCAAGACCCCCAGCCCCAGTCCCTCAGCTGCCTAGCTGTTGTCTGGGGCTAGCAAACCCCGCTTGAGATGCTGCCCTGTTTTCTGGAGGGGAGAGCAGTCAGCCCCCGGGCATCCCACTGTGGATCCCAGGCAGTACTTGGAGCAGGATCCCATCCATCTGGGTGCCCAAGATGCTGGCTGTTGGGTGGGGCGGGGGTGTCGCCTCTTAAGTCGGGAAAGGTGGGAGGGGACATCTAGGCAGCTCTTCCTCTGTCTCAGGCTTAGGGGCAAAGCCAAGAAAAATGGCAAAAATGTTTTGACCGCAGGAGAAAAAAACGGCCTTCTCTGTGTATCTTCAATTGCCAGGATTGAGAAGATCAAAGCAAAGCAAAGGAAAGTTGCTGCTTTGCAGAGGGGCAGCAGGAGGCCTGCTTCCCCGGTGGTTAGTGTGAGCTGTTTGCCCCGGGAGGTCGCTGCCACAGGGCCTAGCGTTCCAGGTGAGCTCGGGACATGACCTGCCTCCCCCCAGCCCAGCTTGAAACAGGGATGTTACACTGAGCCTTCTGCCATAGCGCCACCAACTCTCCCGCCCTCTCCCGCTCCAAGCCAGCAAGAAAATGGGTCTTTCCCTTCGGACCTGAGGCGTTAGAGTTGCCTTTTTGTCTGATGCATCTGAAGAGTTTAGAATCAGAACGGTGCTCTGAGGTGAAATTCTGAACTCCGACTGAAGTCCCAGAAAGGATCCCTCCCTGTTTGCAAAGTGAAAACACATCTGACAGGCCCTGACTCCCTGGAAATCCATGGATTACTTACTTAAACAGTATTTTCTTCTTTTCAGTTTTGAGATTTTTTTTTTTTCCCTTCAGAAAACGAGTTCCTCAAAGGGCCAGTGGCTAAAGGCAAAAGTCATTTCATTTTTTACTGGTCAGGAAATAAATAAAATATCCTTCAAAAAGTTGTTCTTTTTCAAATGGACTGGATTTGCTCTTCCTTTCAGCTGAACAAGTTGAAGGGAACAGTGTCATCACCTGGCTACCAACCTCTGAGATGACTGGGTTTTATCTGGCAATTCATATGCAGGGTGTCATCTATGGGTCAACCTTCCTAATTGGGGGACACACTGTCTGAATTAGCGACAAAACTGAATTACAGTGCTTTTAAGAAAAGAGATTCCATTTTAGTGCTTTCGAGTTCCTGAAACCGTTACAACTGGTCTCCTCAAGGATCTCCCAGCACAGACCTCCCGGGGAGTCTCCTTGAAGCAGAGGAAAGACGAGGTTGTCAGCTTATGTGCTAGGCAATCTTGAAAACACGTATTACCTCCAGTCTCTTATACGTTTCCTTCTCAGATTTTATTTGCACCAAATGATTTGTTCAAAGGAATCATTTTGTAAGGATGGGGGAGGGCAGTCAGTAAACATTCAGTAAGGTGGTGTTGATTTCTTCAGTAGACATTTCAGCCCGGAACCTTTTTGGAATGACCACAATGTGTTCCAGGGTGGGAATGGCTGATGGATTTTGGTTTCTTTCATCTTTATTTAGATGATCTTAGTACGACAGAAAATGAAGAGGAGAAAAAATGGTGGCAGCCTTGGACGAAGCATCCTTCCAGTAAGCTGGGACTGTTAACAGCTGCCTGGAGCATGGCCCTTCAGGACGCTGAGAAGTGGGGGTGTGGGTGGGTGGGGGGGCCCACTAGGTTCCAGGGTTCCCTAAAACAGGTCCATTCCCTAGGACAAGCCTGTCATTTGAGGCAACAAGGTTGTGGTGAGGAGGCAGGTAGATGGCTCACGCCGTCTGCCCCATAAGGACACGAGAGGTTGTGTGTTTGTGTCTTTGGGGACAGTGGAGGAGCAGGGTCCCCTCCATCTACCAGCGTGGCAGGTGAGCTGGCCATGGATGATATGGGACAAGACTCGTGGAGTGTGAGCAGCTGAGGAAGATGGGAGATTGCAGATTCCGTGGCTAACAAGGGAGATTGATGGTGAGGGGAGACAGAAATCCACAGGCGTCTAATGTGAAATGTCAATACTAATACATAATTTAAATCCAGTTAGGGAATGAGATATACCTGTTTTGACAGCCTTCCCTTTTGTGGTAGAATGTGCCAGAAGGGAGGAAACCCCACATGTAAAATAACCCGGTGCCCATCAGGTCATTAAGATGCCCAGCATGTCTCAGGCTGGGCTGGGCTTATAGTGAGGTCTGCGGGCAATGGAGTAGGAGGCCGTGTCTTCCAGAGTCTTTTTGTGGACATGCTTTGCAGTGCTCCAGGACGGCAGCTACACCTTCTTTGAGACTGACAGTGAGGAAGAGGAGCCACAAGAAGAAAGCGAGGCAGAAATAACAGATCGTCAGCCAAAGCCCAGAACAGCTTTCCAGGTAAGTTTTCTTTGCCTTGAACTCGAGCTAACGCTGGTGAAGTAGACACATTCTGTGGGCTGAGTGGTCCTCACTGAGGATGCTCTTGCTTTAGAAGCCTCCATGGGTGCCCATGGCATGGCTGGACCTGCATGTGGTGGAGCAGACTATGCAGAACAACGACCTGAGCTTAGCCTGAGCCCAAGTTCATTTGGATCCCTCTGGGAGATGTCTCATTATAAAAAGAACAACAGGTACCTCAGAAGCCCATGGCTCTGGATGCTGGGTGCTTGTTTACATGTGGTGAGGCAGTGACTCTGAGGGTCTCTACTTCCCTGTAGGGGCTCCCTGCTGACTACTGGAGAAAAGCGGTGGGCTCATGGGGAAGCCAGTCAACTAGTCCTTCTGTATCAAATTGCTCAACTAGTCCTCTTGGTATAAATTACTCCTGTTATGGGCACATGCAAAACCAAGTGGAGAACAGGGGTACTCATTTGGAGATGTCAACCAATATTTGGGGGGTATTGCAGGAAAAAGGATAAGTTATTTGAAAACATGTCTTAATTTTCTTTACCATGCCTACACATGTGTCTCTGTTGCAGCCTATTTAGAGTTTTTCCTTAAGCGTGCATTTTAGTTGAAAGTTACTTGGAAAAACATAGAAGGAAGAGCAAAGAATTCCATATATTACTTACTCTTTGCTCCTGTCTTAAGGAATCCATTTTTCAATTTTTTTGTAAAACCAGAACTACTTAAAGCAGACACAAGAAAGGCTGTCACCCACTTTAGCCTTTATACCAAGCAGCACTGACTTTTCCAGGAACAAGGAAGGAGATCATCCAGCAAAATTCTGTTTGGGTTTGACTTTGATGTTCTGATGTCTAGATGCAACTTTAAACATCTTTTAAATTCACAAACTGCTCCTAAGAGCCTTTCCTCTTCTAAGAGGAAATTACTTGGAACAAATATGACATTGATTTTCCATCTCCCTTGATTAGTCTCATTTGGTCTGATTTTTATTATTTAAGGCTTACCGACAACGAGAATATACAGTTAGCGATGGTTCTAATTAGATTTTGTGACCTTTAAAGAAGAAAAGGAGGGTCTGGGCCTGGAACTGCTGGAGCACACAGCCAGGTTTACGACTGTCTCCCTGCAGCTCGCCTATAAAGCCTGGACTGACGGTGCCGCGTGTGCTCTCCGGATGAGGATGGAGGATGAATGGGGGATGGGAAACCCCGAGTGGGATGAAGAGGGGCTCCGGTGGCGCCACAGTGGAGGTACTACTGTCGACGGCAAAGCAGGGTTTGTGTGGTAACTTAGATCAACAGATGGTCGACTAGGAAACACTGGCGTCAAACAGTTCTGGCTGGTGACTGGGTCCATTGACAGCAAGTGGAGTGTGGAGGGAAGATGAGGTCATGGGTGCATATAGGAGCCTAGGGGAACTTTTATACATGCTGATGATGGAGCGAGTGCCTTATGGAGGTGTCCACACCGCTTGGACAATGGTATATTTGCTGACGGGCCAACTGGTTATTCTGAGATATGGGGGGTGGGGGGTGGGGTGGAGAATCTGCATTTTTCCAAGTGTGTTTTCCATAATGGCTTGAGATTTGGAACGCATCAACCAGACCCAGGGAGAGAAAAATATGTGGTCTGTCGGGTGTCCAATCTTTCCTAAGTGAGGCATTCACTGGCGGAAAGCCCTGGACCCTAACAAGTAGTGGTCAGCAGCCAATACAAATTTGAAAGGCCTTCCTCTCTAGGTGGACCTGCTTTGCTGAGCGTCTGCAAATGAAGACCAGCTGATTTGACATCAGGGCCTGTAGAGTCCCAGTGACCCCAGTAAAGGGCCCACGATGTGATGCGTGTTTCAGGAGGACTATTATTTCCACACTCCCGTCATCATGTCCACCTTAGACACACAGACACCCCCATGGGGATGTAACAAACATTTACAAAAAAACATCAATCAAAAACAGACGGGACTTTCCAGTCTATTTTTTTTTTTTTGGTGACTCAGGAGGTGAGAGACTGGCAACTCGTGAGACTGAAGCTGAAGCCAGAGCAGAAAGTTCAGATGAACCTGGTAGGTTTGGTTGTCCTACCGTATTCAAAACAGAAAGAAAAAAAAAAAACTATAGGAGGGGAAACCATGTCATGGATCAGGGTTGACATCAGACAGCCTCACTCAGAGATGAAAGGCCAGTTAAAGAGGGTGATGAAGTGCTTAAATGCCTTGCTCAAGGGCCCTCAGCTGGATCACAAAGCCAGCTCCTCCACCTCCCGTCAAGGGATGTTCTTGTCTTCCAGCTCATCCCATGGGCAGGACATCCTTTCCATTCCTCCCTATCCCTTGTCTTTAACGGCCATTCCTTCAGCGCAAGTCTGGGTGGCCTGCAATTAGACCCACTCCCACCCCCTGTACTCAGATCCCCTCCCACCCACCTCCCCTTCACTTCTCTGGTCCTCGGTTTCTCTGTGAAAGGAAGACAGTAAGAGACCATGAGCAAGAGGGATGCTGTAAGATTGAAGGGCTGAACCATAAGATCACCTCAGTTCCTGGTACACAGTAAGTGCCTAACTCGTGCTAGCTATTCAGAATGCTGGGTAGAGACCCTGATGCTGAGAAAGATTGAGGGCAGGAGGAGATGGGGACAACAGAGGATGAGATGGCTGGATGGCATCACTGAATCAATGGACATAAGTCTGAGCAAACTCAGAGACAGTGAAGGACAGGGAAGTCTGGTGTGCTGCAGTCCATGACTCGCAAAGTGTCGGACACGACTTACTGACTAAACACTCAGAATGCAAACCATAACAGTGTGGTCCTGTCCTCCAAGTGCGCTCAGAGACAGTCACTCTCAGGCCCGCCCCGGTGCCCGTCTGCTTAACCCGGGGCCCCCACTTTGGACGAGAATCCATGACGTCTAGAGAAATTCTTCCCACGGGGCAGCCCCCTCAAGGTTTAGTTGATGGACTGGATGGAGTTTATTGTCTTGTTGCTCCAAGGCAAGTTGGCAAAAAGAAAGAGCGATGGTCTCCGTGGGGTTTCACGGGCAGTGTGTGTGTGATTCCTGCTCTCGCCCCACAGGAAGCCTGGCCCGGAGGCTCGTCACTGTGGCCCAGTTGTGCAGGGTCCTGGGACAGGTGTTGTTGGACGATGTCACCGAAGCCCTGCGTGCACTGGGCGGGGACAGTGCCCGGGTGTCCAGGGCCCTGCGGGGGTTGCGCCATGGCTGGTGGCGAGCTGTCACTCAGGCAAGCTTGTCACCTCTCGCCGTATCAATTGCCTTTAATTATTCCTCGCGGACAAGCCTCTCCATCGCTGACTCATGGTTTATGCCTCGCCTTAGCTCCTGCCACCCACCCTCCCTGCTGGTGTGGACCGCTGCGGCGGCTGGTGGGGGGAGGGACGCGGTGCTCTGCCACCTGTGTTCAGAACTCCCGGAGGGGCTTTAGGGCCCCTTGGTGGTCCCAGCTCCAGTCCTGAGATGCAGACTGTGAGGACCTGTGTTCCATCCATTTCCTGTCATGCAAAGTACACCCACTAGCTCCCTCCCGGACTTCCCCCTCCTTATCCACATCTGCTTCCCTCTCTTTTTTCCTTTTCTTTTTGGCTGCTTCTCCCATCATGTAGAATCTTAGTTTTCCTGATGTAAGCCGTGCCCCCTGTATTACAAGCATGGAGTCTTAACCAGCGAACTGCCAGGGAAGTCCCTCTTTTTTTCCTCTGTATGATGAAACTCTGACATTTCTCTGTAGGGGAAGAAAGCCACCACAGAGGACATTCTCAGAGGCTGTCATGCCCGCTTGCGAGAGTCCCTGTGCGCAGCCCCAGCCAGGAGGGAAGAGAGACCAGAGAGGCATCCAGAAGGCAAAGGGTTACCTGGGTCTTGCCCGGAAGACGCCCGATCGCCTGGAGAAATGGAACGGGGCCCGGCCCCAGAGGATCCTCGCAGAAACACCTGCAGGTCCAGGCAAGACCCCCCCCAGGAGGCACTGGAAGACCCCCTGAGGCAGGGAGCAGGTTGCCCTCAGCCCCAAGGAGCCGCCCTGCCTCAGGACAACCCCAGGTGCCAGGGGCCCCCAGTGAAACCTCGGTCTCCCCAAAAGTCAAGACCTTGTGTTTGGAGGGCTGTAAAGGGATCATTTTCGCTAATGCCACAAAATTATGCTGTGTCCAAACTACAGAGGCCCATGGCAGGTAGAGAAGCAATTTCCCTCAAATGCGAAGTGTGGCTTTCAGAAGGGCCCAGTGGATGTGGACAGGCCGCCTTATTCTGGGCATGATCGGTGGACCATGTAGGAGCTGTGATCTTGTGAACGGGTCCCTTTAAAAATGTCACCTGGGAGGCCTGGGTGGAGGGGGCAGCGTTGAGGGGGATGCTCATCGAGGAACCTGAGGAAGCTCATCCCCTGACCATCTCAGCTGTGTCCCAGACACCGGGGGACAGACGAGGACAGAGCCATGGTGATGGCTGCGTGGGCGGGGACAATGGCCATTCCCCACGCTGACCCCTTTGCTGGGCTGGTCCTGAGTCATTTTGCATCAGTTAACCCCCTTAGCTACCAAGAGCCCAGGGAGGAAGGTTAGAGTATTCTCCCCATTTGACACAAGGGGGAACTGAGGCTGGACAGAGCCCATGGCTCAAGATCACATGTGGCCGTGTTCTGCCGTCTCACCTGGATGTCCAGGTGCTGTGGATGCAGCCCTGACTGGCCCACCATCCCAGAAGGAACACCTCATCTTCCCTTCCCCCATCTTTCTCCACGTACCCTCACCGCTGTCCCAGGAGTTGGGGCTTTTCCCCCATCCTAGGCTCTCTCCCATCTGTTCCACTTTCTCCATGGGTTCTGTTCCCAGTCCTTTCCCCTCCACTCCCTTTAGCAACCCAGCAGACTGCAGTCCTCTGGGGGCTGCAGAAATCACACCCCTGCCCCTCGTCTCTTCACCACCAGACATCTTGAAAGGGCGGAGAGGCAGATGAGCCTTGTCCTTCCTCTCCGTCCCCTGTGTTTTTACAGGACCCTCTGACTCCTGCAGCCTCCGCTCTGTGGGCCTCTGCCCCACTGTCCCCTTCCTGTCCCTTCCTCAGCAAGTGTGCTGAGCTCCAGTCCTGGGGTCCCACCTGCTTAGGAGCCATCTCTGACCTTGTAATGTAATGAACTCAAGTTCATTACTTCCTTTCTCCACGGACTGGTGCCCCTCCCCCCTGGCTCCCAGCAAAGTCTTTGTTGGCAAAAGCCCTACTTGAAATCTCTGGCAAAACCTTCACAACCATCCAGCCTCTAGTGAAGTGTCCCAGGAGGACATGCCAGCGTTGTTCTTCTTCTTATTTACCATGTCCAGTAGGGGATGCAGCGCCCAGGGCTCTGTTTTGAAAATCTCTCTCTGGATTCCACCTACAGCCCCTACTGTGTCCACTGTCCTGCTCTGACCATCATTGGTTCTAGCCTGTCCTACCAACCCATCCTGCCCACCACCAGCTCCTCCATCTAATGCACCCTTCACACCAACCTCAAATCCCCCCAGCCTGCCCTTGTCACCTCCTTCTTCACCCTTCCAGGGCTTTCCTGTCTCCTGCAGAATGAAATCCAGACCCTCAGCCTGGTTTGCAAGGCCCCTGGTGATCTGATGGCTCTAGTCCCCGGGCTCTGTTTTCTGAACCGCAAAGGATCTAACCCTTACCTGGATTGTCCATTCTCCCTGCCTCTCTGCCTGGAGGGTTTGCCTCTTGTCCTTCAAGAGCCAGCCCAGCCACCCCTCTGGGAAGCCTCCTGGCTCCCTGTCCTTCTCCGGACTTCCTCAACTCCTCAGAAGTGGCTCTCACCCAGACCAACGGCCCCAGACCCATGCCCCCAGCGACATGAGCCCCATGAGGACAGGGGTCTGCCTTGTCCATCTCTGTGCTCCTGTGGCCCAACTCCAGGTCTACAACAATGGCCTTCCAGGGCCTGCTTGTTCAACCAAGCAATGCAGCCTTCATAGAGGATGCAGGAATAAATCTCAGACCATCCCCAGTGATTGCAAATTCCAGATGATAGGAGTCTGGAATCCAAATTCATGAGGCTTTCAAAAAATTTTAGAATGTCCTTTGAAGCAAAAGCCCAATCAATTAGTCATCAAAAGTTCTTTTAAAATGATGTCTTTAGGGTCTACAGAGGTCACAGAGACAGTAAGGCACAGTAGCTAGGGGTCAGCCAGGAGTGAGGAAGGGTTGAGCAGGACCTCACCACTGGCAGGATGTCCCTCCAAGACAGTGGGCTGGCAAGTCCAAGACCTGCCACACCCCGCCTCCTGCCTACCATCACCACCCACCATCCTGTTCTATCCCAGTCATTCAGAGACTCAAACAGACCAGCAGCTCCAGCAGAAAGTTCCTTTTAGGATGTTTCCAGCTAATGATCTGTATTGTAACTTAAAAGGCAAGAATTATCTGTAAATTGAGTCAGAAACAAGCACATTTTTCTTGCTCAATGTGGCCGCCCAAATTGCTGTTCTTGGGTCAGAAGGTGTTGCCCTCCACAGGCTAGGAAGCAAAGCAAGTGGTTCTTTGAACTTGATTACTTGCTTGAAAAGACTACTCAATAGAGAAATTGTGAGCAATCGAGGTTTTTTGTTTTTTTCCCCCCCAAATCACATATTTTTTTTAATGCATCTGGGGAGTGCATGTTCAATAGAAAACTTCGTGGCTGAGCACTCTGGGAAAGTAGAAAATTGCTCCCAGTGTAGAGTTTGGGGAAATGCAGTTATTTTTTACCTACTGGATTTTCTCAAGACCCAGACATGCCTGCCCATCCAGGGCCGTGGGCCTATCTTTCCTGGACTTACAGCAAGTTATCTCCCTCCCTCTAGGCTGCCCCCGGAGGAGGATGAGCTAGAGCAGTCGGACAGGTTTTACCGGAGCCTGCCTCGCCTGGTGAAGCTACCTTTCGCCTTGCACCAGGCTGCCGTGGCCAAGTCTGAGACTCTGTGCTATCTTGTGATCATTCTCAACCACACGCTCTCGGCCTCCATCCTCTCCATGGTTCTGCCCATCCTGTCTTTCCTGTGGGCCATGCTTTCTGTCCCCAGGCCCTCCAAACGATTCTGGATGGCGGCAATCTATTACACAGAGGTAGGTGCCAAGGGGGCCCCCTGGCAGACCCAGCCCCTGCCAATGGATGGACACCCCACCTGCTGCCATTGTCACCAGTGCATGTGTCTTTTTTAAAAATTTGAGTGTATTTATTTGGCTGCTCTGAGTTTTAGTTGCACATGTGGGATCTAGTTCCCTGACCAGGGATCAAACCCAGGCTGCCTGCATTGGGAGCACAGAGTCTTAGCCATTGGATAACCAGGGAAGTCCCCATCTCACACACTTCTGATGCTGCCTTGGGGGCAACACATCGAGTGCTGGTGTCAAGTGAGTGAGGGGGCTGGGGGAACCCAGAGAACAAATGGAACCCCTAATGTTCTGCTCTGGCACTCACACCACCCCCCAAAGAGCACCATAGCTTTTGAGAGTCAGATGCAGCTATGAATAGTGTTCCCATGCACCGTCCATGTAATAGGTACACAATAAGCACGTGTGGATTTATCCCATCAGGCTTTGGCAATGCATGTTTATATTATTTTAATTTTTTGGCATCTTGGATATAATTTACCACCAGCCTTGCTCTCTGCTGCACTTTTTGACTCAGATGCAACATTTGCAAACTTGAACACCGCCTGTCTGTGAAATTAATTAGTGCAAAAGTTAAGTACCTGTCATTAGGTTGTTTCTCCCATCACATCATTTTTATCAGCCTAGGAGGGGTGTGAATGATGGCTCCCTTGCCTCCCAGAGTCCCAGACAGGGAGGGAGAAGAGCCTCCTGGCTCTGGGTTCCCCCTACAGAGTCACTGAAAACACCCCCAGGGGAGGCGGCCACCAGCCTGGGTTCTGTCTGCTAGGGACCCTTAAGCTCTGCCATCCTAACATTTTTGAGCTAGGCAGAAAGCTTTTGGTTTTTTTTTTAAAAAAAACAACAATAAACACTTTTATAAAGAATATTTTAATCCCCTGGAAGGAATACACTTTTAAAAGTCCATGGTACATTTTGTGTATATAAGAAGATCCTCCTAATTACAAATGAAGCTGATCTCTTTGGATTTACTGCTTGTAACTGAGTCCAATAAAATTTAATCTCCCTAAAAGTCTTCTGACAATTCTGACTTTCAGTTAATACCATCTTGCACTTGAAGGGCTTAGTCTGGATAATCTACATGTTCCACTGGGGCCTCTCAGTTGGGTGTTTGGAAGGCAAGTCAGACCGCATCTCTGATTGTAGAGAGAGGCAGCGGGTGACAGGCCTGAGGTCACTGACCGTCCCCGCTTCTGCCTTCATGTTCCTGGGCGTCTGCTGTCTAGCAGGAAAGGACCACACTCTTTAGCGTGCTTGCGCCCTTTTCCTAATCCACCCGGGTAGGGCAATCTCCCCCATGATGCCCCATTACTGCCCCAGATTTACCTTTACCTCCTAGGAATCTGACGTGGTGCTCAGGATGCAACCCACTCATTCCTGCCGTGGGTCTTTGAAGTGCCAGCTCTTACCTGCAGGGCAGAGCCTCTGATGGCATTTCAACACAGGGTACTTGACAGAAAGATAGTCAATGGACACCAGCGTCTGATCCTGACCCTACAATGAACTGTCCAGGGGTTTCATCAGCCTAGAATTGGCTGTGGATGCTACATGGGCGCCCTTACCCACAGGACTGATTCTGCCTCCCTCTTCAGATGGACTGACAAAAAAATGTGTTCCTACTTAAGGAACTACCAAGGGCCAAACTAGAAAGTGCCTAAAAGATGCTCTGAGTTCAGTTCAGCTCAGTCACTCAGTCGTGTCTGACTCTTTGCAGCCCCATGAACCACAGCATGCCAGGCCTCCCTGTCCATCACCAACTCCCGGAGTCCACCCAAACCTAAGTCCATCTAGTTGATGACGCCATCCAGCCATCTCATCCTCTGTCATCCCCTTCTCCTCCTGCCCCCAATCTTTCCTAGCATCAGGGTCTTTTCCAATGAGTCAGCTCTTCGCATCAGGTGGCCAAAGTATTGGAGTTTCAGCTTCAACATCAGTCCTTCCAATGTACGCCCAGGACTGATCTCCTTTAGGATGGACTGGTTGGATCTCCTTGCAGTCCCAGGGACTCTCAAGAGTCTTTTCCAACACCACAGTTTAAAAGCATCCATTCTTCGGCACTCAGCCTTCTTTATAGCCCAACTCTCATATCGTATGGATGTCATGCTCTAGACTGGCTCTTTAATTTTATAGATGAGGAAACCAAGAAGGCATTGGGTCCCAGGCAGCATATTGGACCCCCTTTTCTACACTGAGTGTGGAGGTGGGGGTCCTTCACCCATGGTTCTGCCACTGGCTGCCAGCAATCCTGGGATGGAAGAACAGTGGCCACCCCCTGCCCATCCCCTGGGGACAGAAGGTGCCTCTCCACTTCCTCCCATTTCCAAACAGAAACATCACCACTCAACCCTTGAGGATGCCCTTGGAGGCCCAAGACTGTTTCCCTGGCCGAAAAGACTGACTTTTAGAAGTTTGTGAAACAGAAGCATTGGAGAGATTCTGCATGCAAAGTGACTTTTGAGCACTTGCAGCATAAAAAGACAATCTCTTAAAATCCTCTGCTACTGGCCTGTGAGAAGAGGCAGGCTGGGAGAGCCATCTTAATCTGCCTGCCTGCCTCCGTGCTAAGTCGCTTAGTCGTGTTTGACTCTTTGCAACCCCATGGACTGTAGCCCACCAGGCTCCTCTGTCCACGGGATTCTCCAGGCAAGAATACTGGAGGGGGTTATCATGCGATTCTCCAGCGGATCTTCCTGACTCAGGGTTTGACCCCGCATCTCCTGCACTGCAGGCAAATTCTTTACTTCTGAGCCACCAGGAAGCCCCTTACTCTGCCTACCATGCATCAGAATGGTTTAACAGTCAACAAATGTCAGGAGAAATTAGAAAGGGAGTAATAACAAAAATAAATTAAAAAAAGGCTGACCAGGCTTCAGCAGGGGCACATGGGGCCACCTTATGTTTTCGTGGCAGTTTCTGCTTTTTTATTTCCTTTTAATCTCAAGCCTCTGCTGATGACCAGTCAGTTCCTTACATTTGTGAAGCCTGGTAGCTTTCCTGGGTATTCACTGGTTTTATGGTTGTTTGTGTGAATGGTGTGTGTGGCTGTGTGTGTTTTCAGGTCAGTCGCAATGACCTCTCTCTTCTTCCCTTCTTTAGGCTACTGTTGTGGTCAAATACTTTTCGCAGTTTGGACTCTTCCCATGGACCACAAAGCGCTACGCTGGCATCAACAGGGAAAAGCCGTTTTCTCTGCCCAACATCCTCGGGGTTGAGAAGCGAGACGGCTCTGTGTTGGGCGACCTCGTGCAGCTGCTGGCCCTGTTTTTCCATCGCAATACCCTGCAGGTGCGTCCACCTCCTCCTTCCAGGGGCTGTGACCTTTGGCTCCACTCCCCACGAGTCCTCACTTGCTAGTCACGACCGTGAGAGGTGGACTGGATGAGATCAGGGTACCCATTCCCCTCTCCAGACCAGGAAGGGGAGCCCCCCTGGCCCGGACATCTCAGTTGCAGAGACTGATGATTAAATTTTGAATGCCCAGCTCAGCCTTTAGATGTACTGCTGCTCTGTTCCCCATTGGAGAGTGTTTTCTTTTTCGTGACGTTTAAATCATTTGATTTGATATTTTCCTGTTCCCAGTAACCCTCCCCCACCAGGAGCTGACTCTGCACCCTGGATGCACCCTCAGGCCCTTCTCCCCTTGCCCCCACCCCCTGCACCCTCGGAGCCCCTTGCTCCTTCCCATTCTCTCCCCATCTGGCCCCACACTGCAGAGACTTCTCCCTGACACCTTCCTGACCTTCCTTAGAAACCTCCTTCTGCACCCTTCCCATCTCCCTGGCCTCCAGCTGGTTTGGGTGTGTGAGAGAGAGAAAGTGTGTGTGTGTGTGTGTGTGTGTGTGTGTGTGTGTGTGTAGTGGTGGTGGTGCAAACTCCTCATGCCCACCTTGTCCTCCAGGGCTTGGGGCTGTGGGACCAGCCGCCATGTGACCAGGCTCATTGCAAAGGGGAGAGAAAGAGCAGGAGGCAGAGAAGAAATGCCGGTGGAGAGTCTCCAGGCGGTGGGAACCTCCGGAGACGGGCGGATCTGGACCTCTCCTCCCAGGAGCTGCCATTGTCCCCGCCAGCCCCCAACTGGGCCTTCTGGAGGCGTTGGTGGGCCACGGGACACAGAGGTAGGCTGCACCCCAGTTGCCCTGGGCCCCAAGCCCTCCAAGGTCTAGCCCAAGGAGGTACCCTCATTGGTCTCAACACAGCTGCAGAGCCTGGGAAAGTGTAGGCTACTGGGGTCCCCAAATCTGGGCCAGGAAAGGGTCTGGGGATACTTCTTCCTCACCCAGTGCCCAGGCCACCCTGCCAACTTCCTCACCCCACCAGGCTTTCCTTTCTGCAGCCTGGGGACCAGACCAGGTCCCCCAGGATCAGGGAGGCAACAGTGTGAGCCCATGCCCTGGACTCAAAGGCTGGTGGCAATCACGTGGCACCTGGTTCCTTCCCTCCCAGCCCTGGGGTGGTGGGGGCAAGGTGGTCCCAGCCAAAGCAGCTTCTGGAGGAAAAGCTGAAGGGGAAGGCCTGTGTCTTTGTGTCTTGCCAGGGGGTCCCCAAGACCCAGGATCCAGGAAGACATGGAGCCTCCTTAGGAAGCAGTCACTCAGACAAAAGCAACTCAACAGAAGCTTATTGGAGACACTGGAGGAAACTGGGAAGCTGGGTGTTAGGAGGTGATCAGGGGAGCTCTTCTGGGAGCTGGGGGCCAGCTGAGTCCTAGGGGCTCCTGTCATCCCCCTCCTCCCCACAATGAAAGCTTCCCTGCAGGCAGATCTGCCATGAAGACCTCGTGGTTATTGTGGAGCCCGGTGCCTCTGGGTGAGGACCGGGGCCTGCATCTTCCCGGACCAGGAAAAACACCACGTGGGAGTCAGATCCCAGACTTACATCTGGGATAGTTGCAGCCTACTTTCCCACTTGCTGGTCTATCTGTAGGACTACAGTGAAACTGTGACCATCCTTGCTTTTTGTCCAGGCATTTCTCAGTTCACACTTTGGTCTCTGCCTCTATCTGTCTGTCCCATTATCCATCAATTTACCCATCTTTCCACCTTTCTTCCTTCTATCGATCTATTGTCTCTGAATGCAAACATTCTTCCTTTCTCCTTTCCATTCATTCAACCATCTCTCCATTTGTCCATCTGTTGACCCACCCACCAGCCTCCTGCTTACCCATCCATCCCTCTATCCATCCACCCACCCATCCATCCACCCACTCATCCATCCATCCATCTACTCATCTATCCATCCACACATCCACCCACTCATCCATCCACTCACCCTCTCACCCAGAGTCACCTGGCTGCCCTCCTTTTGCTCTGTGGGACCCCTGCATCACAGGTAATCACACATGGACACTGGACTCTCTCTCAGTCTCAGAACTGTTTCACACCGATGCCAACATTTTACCCCTATAGCCACCCCATGGCATGGTTGGGCCAGGGCTTGTCATCCCCACTTGGCTGGAGAGGAGCCTGGAACTCAGCAGCAGAGCCACTTGCCTCATGTTGCAGAGAGAGGACTTGGCGGGGAGAGGGTCCGCCACCCCAAGCTCTTCTCCAGGCTGCATCTGGCTGGATTCTGGGCGAGACCCTCGAGAGCCTATGATTGGGTTAGTGATGAGGTTGGACCTTAAGCAACCAGCCTTCATGGAATTGGAGGAATTGGAGATGAAGAGAATACAGGTGTTGGGAAAATGAACCCATGTGTGGTCCCCACCTCTGCATCTCCCAGCCACAACTTCCTCCCAGAACTTTCTAGCCAGTCCTGAGTGCGGTCAAGGTCAAGCCTGCCTGAGGAGGGCAGGCTTCAGCATCACCCTGTCTCCTGCAGGTCCCTCCGGATCTATCACTCCATCCGCCGGTTCTTCTCCAACCTCCGCCAGCCCCCGGCCAGCCCTGTGCGCGACGTGTACACCCTGGCTTTCCTGGTGGAGGTGCTCAACTTGGTCATCGTCCTTTTTGGCTACTGGGCCTTTGGGGTGAGCCTGCGAGTCCCAGGCCCATACAGGCTTCCAGACTGCCCCACTGAGCACTTGGCTTTCCTGGGAGCCTCTGCCTAGACCCCTGGGTTCTTGGGGCTGCAGTGTCCCTCCACAGTTGTGGGGGGGGTGGCCATTAGTTCCTTAATAACCGGGCAGATGACTGGCTTTCTTAATAGCAGAGGTGGTCTGTCTCCCTCTCCCCGACTCTCTCCTTCTCCCCTCGCTCTATTTAGAATAGCAACTCTACCAACCCCATTACTGAAATCTCTTGTCTTCCGTGGCTTGTCCAGCTTGTTGTTGTTTTATTGCCTCTCTGAAAAGCTTGTACTAAGTAAGGGGAAACTGGATACTGATGGGGCAGGGGCTTCGGTGGGAACACAGGGCCTCCCCCGTGTTGATGGCTCCCTTCTCTGGTCCAGAGCCTCTGTCCCCTTTGCCCATCCCCAGAATTCATCAAGGCCCAGACCTTCACGCCTGGGACCGGGGCCCCTTGCCAGTGGGAGCAGGGCTGGAGGGAGGCCTCACCTGCCCGGAGCTCCCTCAGGTCTGGCCTGTGCTCCACGGTCCGAGGGGAGAGGGGAGGTGACATCCCATCCCCAAGCAGTGCACTGGGGATGGGAAGGGAGTGGGAGGGGAGCTCAGGAGGGTTTCTGGAGTTTGGAGGCATTGGAACGAGACTCAAAGGGCATCAGGACAAACAGAGAGAGAAGGGCATCCGAGTCCAGGGGTTTCCAGGGGCTGAGGGAGGGACCCAAGAGCAGGGACGCCAGGAGAGTGAGGCCTCTACAAGAGAGGACTTGGAGGCTGGTCTCCAGGTTGAGAGGCGGAGAGGCCCCGAGACCGAGGCTCAGAAGGGAGATGCCTCCTGAAGCGTCTGAGGAGCAAGGCTGGTGGGGACACAACCAGGGGGGCTCTTGGCCACGCATCGCCCCGCCGGCCGCTTCCTAAGACGCCTTTCTGGCTCCCGTAGAAACACTCAGCCGCCAACCTGGCGGAGTCGCTGTCGGAGGAGACGGTGCCCGGGGCCTTCCTGGCGATGGTGCTTGTCCAGTTTGGCACGATGCTCGTGGACCGCGCGCTGTACCTGAGGAAGGCCGTGCTGGGCAAGTGCGCCTTCCAGCTCCTCCTTGTCATCGGCACTCACCTCTGGCTCTTCTTCATACTGCCCGGCGTCACCACGAGGTATCTTGGTCACCTTGCTGGCTCTCCTTTCTCCCTGCCCTCCCCACCCCCCGCCGCACTCCACGAAGAGAAAAAGGCAACAGACCACCTGCTGAGGGAGCATCTTGCGATTCCCGGGGAATGAGAAGCAGAGGGCTGAACCACCGAGGGACCCCCCCCCCCCCCCCCCCCCC